ATATATATATTTTAAAAAAACTCAATGATCAGTAAATTGGAAAACCATTAAACCTTCACATATGACTGAAGAGACTTTTGTTTCATTTGCTGGTAGCAATCTATCTTTTAATCACATGCAAAATTAAAAGGTATTCAAATGTAATTAATACATGAAAATTGTTTACAAATGGAAACCTGAAATGTTACCAGTAATAAAATAAAACAAAATATTTATGGCCCCCCAAAGATGTATGACTCACACGTAATTTATCTTCCTAAGAATCTGTTCAGGCACCATTTATGCCTCATAGCAAAAAATTGTTTATAAAAAAATTAATATAAGAAGCATTACAACACTTTATAAATAATTTACAAAACATAATACAAAATTAGAAAACTGTCAAAAAAATCACTGCATGTGAATGGTTTTAAGACTGTGGGATGAACGTCATTTTTTCTTCCAAGCTGGCGATTTTTATTTATTTTACATTTTCACTGTCCTAGTTATATCCTTCCGATATGTACTTTGGAACAGAAAAGAGCTTATATAACTGCTGCCAGCATATTTTAAAACATTTAGTATCTTTCATACACTGTTTAGTTAACTTTTCTTCTTGGGGGATTTTTCTTCACAAAATTTAGAGCAGTCCCTGGGAGAACAGGAAATTTAGTTTTTAGGCAAAGAATGGGTTGATGGTTTTGATGGGGGTAGAGGGGGGAGTGGTGTATGGTCTCAGGGGTGGCTGAACAGGTAATCGTGTGGCATTAATGACTGGACAATTAGCAGCATACTGGAGACACAGGTAGGACTTCAGAAGTGTCCTCTCCCAAATATGAACTGTTCTTCTCTGATTCCCTCTTGGCTTCTGGGTGGTCTCCTGATTGTTATGTAAATTGAATTGTGGCCACAAGTTTAGGGATGTTTGGTATAGATAACAGGTATACCTCTGGATATAGGTATCTACGGATAGAGAGAGGAAAACAAAAAAACCAGAGAGGCAGATGTTGCTGTGAGACTCTTTTTGCTTCAGGGGCTCAGCGTGGATAAAGCGCCTTTTTTGTCACTCACAATTTGCCTGTGGTTACTGAGGTGGTTTTTCCCCTGGCAGGTATTTATACATCAACAGTCGGAAAAGGGTCAATAACAATTCTCACTCTCCGCCTCATAAAAGCAATACTGAAAATATCTTTAAACATACCCTGCTGAAGCTTAAAGCCTAAAATGCATTTGCTAGATGTGAGCCCAGCCCAGTGGATCCTCAGTGCTCTCCAACCCTGACCTTTGAGAGTGCTCATATTTAGAGTCAGTTTCGGGCACAGATGATGGTCTCTGAGGCCTTAAAAGTCTACCAGCTACGCAGCAAAAACCTCATTCTACAAGGCAAATCCCATAAACAAATAGTGAGGGCCAGATTCAAAGCCCAGTTGAATCAAGGGAAGTCCCTTTCTTTCACTAAGTTTTGGATATAGCCTTGAGTTCTTGAAAACTCCATAAGAGAAGTGTTATCTGAAAACTCCAGCACTTTAGGAACCTCCTTCAGTGTCCTGGGTAGACCAGCAAACCTGAAGGTCAGTGAACAAAATCAGGAGTTATATCAGCAGATATCACCTCTACAGTGAGCTGAACCAAATCCCCAGTGTTATCTTTTGGAAAGTCCTGATCATGATGCAGCTTCTACCCTAATAGTGGGCTGAACTCCAAAAAGCTGGAAAAGAACTCAGCAGAAGATGACAATCACAGGCGACCTTCACAGGTCATCCCATACCCCTTGAGAACCTGCAACACCCTTCCCTCCCTTGGTATACCCACAGGTCTAGTGACCACAGTATTCTAGAAGATGCTTGTCCAATCAAAAAGGAAGCCAACGAGATAAGTTGTCTTTAAAGGAAAATCAATTTACCTGAAACATACTCCAGGTGACCCACCTTACTATTCCCAAAGGATATTCAAGGGGTTTCCCTATATCCTGATTGCTTAGTCTAGCCAGCGGTCACAGCAAATACCTGCAGAAACACATCCTCCTACTGAAGAGGTCAACAGGGCAAGCATCAATATCAGGATGACATGCAAAAAGGCAGAAGGAACAAAGCCCTACCACTGAAACAGTCCATAGTGATGTAATGATCAAAACATCCTCATCACTTCTCGGCCTGTTTGTTTTCATCAAAATCTCAAGAAATTTCTTTGGCTAGCAGACTTTGGAGAGCAATTGCTTCAAACAGAACCATAATTTGGATGCAGTACTGAACCAAGTGTGCAGTTTATGTTTATACTACAAAATGGGTTTTGGTAAACTCTCCGGGTTCACGGCCAAAGGACAGAGAACTCCCAAGCTACACAGTCAACAGTAAGCACAATGTTCAGCGTGGGCTGACAGTTCATGAGACATAATCCTAATCTTTCTTTGTCCTCTATTGCATTTCAGTGTATCAATATAAAAGTGTTCAGATTTCGCTTCTCTTTTTAAAAATCTTCAAACAGTACTGGGTTATATGGGTTTGGGAAAGGGGTAGAGAATGAGCTGGAAGGGGGGAGGCAGCAGAAAGAATAAGAAAAAAAGAAAAATAGAAATGCAGACCAAGACATACATCCTTAGAAGAGAAATACCAAGCCCCACAAATCACAATAAAAATAAATTATTTTTGGAACCCAAACACTTGGAGATTGCAAAACTGTTGACTGAAAGGAAAGGAAAGGAGGTGACCACTATGGAATGGCTTTAAGACCTGTTTGTACACACCTGCAGGGGGTGCGAACAAGGATGAGAGAAATCAATCCTGTTGTTTTCCTCTTTGCAAAATACAAATGTAAAAATTTATAACACAATTTTACACTCTTAAAAGAGTAGACTAACAATCTAGTTTGCAATGCCATGTTTCTGACTTTGGTTAATAGTTTTCATAGTCAATCAGCACTTGATACCTGAAAGGCTACCATCACTCCTCCAGGTGGCAGGCTTGTATTCGCTTTTAAACAGATAAAAGTTTTTTTTTTTCTTTTTTTTTTTTTGTTTTGTTTCGTTTTTCCTTAAAATGTGTTCACATTTTCATAATATACAGAAAAAAAGTAAGCAGTTATTTGGTTTACTTTAAGTCCATTTTAAAAAACTGTCTTTTTCTCTTTTTTTTGGGAACTAATTCTACAACACACACACACACACACGAAGTGTTGTGTATTTTTTTGTTTTGTTTTGTTTTTTTTAAATAGGAAAACCCATAGACATATATAAACTGTTCTGTCCTTCTTGTAGTTTTCTCAGTCTTTTACTTACAAGGCTGATGAACAGGTATTTTCAGAGTTCAAATGGTTATGTTTCTGTTGGTGCAGGGTTTTTTTTTTTGTGTGTGGTTTGGTTTTGTTTTTAGGAGTTTTCTTCCAGAGAGTCTGTTAAAGGCTCCATAGGAACTGCTGTCGCAGGCTCGTGTTGTTTCAAACGTTTAATTGTGTTCTTCAGTGCTTGCCTCTTATTGCAGAACCAAACTCTAACTACTTCACGGTCATAGTTCAGTTTCTCTGCAATCTCTGTCATTTCTTGCCCAGAGGGGTGCGTGTTCTTCTCAAAGTGGGCATTCAAGATCTCAAGGGCTTGTGGCGTGAATGAGGTACGCCTCTTGCGCTTTTTGGATGGTTCGCTTCCGATAAACTCGGTAAGGTTCTGCATACCTGCTCGATGGCGGGCCTCAGCCTCAGCCATCCACCGCTCAAGCACCGGCTTTATCTTCTGGGCACTTTTAGGAGTGATGTCCAGCTTTTCAAACCTGGCAGGATACAAAAGGCCAGGGTTCAGTTTGGCTGTCAGACTGCTAGCTATAGTGTTCTCTTGGGCTTCCTGTGGTAGGAAAAAGTGGCTTCTCAGGATGGTGTGTCTGAGGGAAAATTGAGAAAGAAGAGTCTTACACTGATGCTCTGCCAGGGTGGGACTTCCTGCCTGCCTGACTAATTGACTGGCAGAGGTAATTTACAATGGATTACGAAAACTGTCAGATAGGTGTATCTCTAAATATATATATATATATAGCTAGATATTTAAGCTAACACAAAACAAGCACTATAACAACATTCTAAGTATACTAAATAATACAAGTTATCAGTCACATTTTCATATTTCTGACGATCTTCAGAACCCTTAAGGCTAAGTCTAATTACAGGAAATGAGATCAAAGGCAATTGCTCTTTATCATCTCATGTTTGCAATTAATCCTTTTGTTTCCCCTCCCATACCATGTTGTCCAAACACCACATGTTTAATAATCCAAACCAATGGTAGTTACTAGCCTCTGAATAGTAAGGTTTCCCTTCCTTTCATTTTTTAGCAATTTTCACTGTTTGCAAGTTAATGCTGAATCCCTTTTCTGGGTCGGAAAAAGATTCCCATAGCTACGGTGGTGTTCAGCTGAAACAGCTGGACACTTTGCAATTATCTTCACTGCCCCCACAATGTGCAAAGACAGACTCATGTTTTCCAGATGAAACCCAGCGTAATAGTCTACTAATATGCTGTGGCACCAAGCTGAGTTTATTGTGGGATTTCTGCAAACTGTACCAGAATGATATCATTTCCTGTAAATGAGGTCTTCTATATATCATTTTGCCATCAAAAGTCTTTTGCCAAACCAGATTTTACAAGTATTATCAAACATCTGGAAAAGCAGCCACACAAAGCTTTAATCCTTTCAAAAACAAGCGGAAGAGCCGAGTTCACATTGCAAGTCTTATATAATAGAAGTACTTGTTTCTTTCATTTACCCAGTTCATTCTCTCTTGCTATGCATTAAAAAAGTATTAACACAAGTCCTCTGATGCCACCCATTTGTATTTCCCCACTTCGCCTACGTTCACCCCGCACACTGTGTTATTTATCATTGCCGAAAGGCATCAATTACTGTGTGGTGCTGCTGCACCCTCCAGCCTGCCCGCTGCTGAAGCACCAGCGCTGCTCATCACGATGTGCTCTGGAGAGGAGACCCACTGAATCAATGCCTTTGTGCAAAGCAACTTGGTGACCAGAGTTGGCAATTTTTAGTGGCTCAGTTCAGCACGTGGCGGCTGCAGAAAATATTCCAGGGAGGAAACAAAGCATTTCTCACATACAACGAATAAGACAAGTAATAATTTCAGATAATAACATTCCAAAGAATTTGTAACTGGTGCCCGGGATCCTAGTGTGGCATTGACTACAAGGTATCCTTCCTTGGTGCCCAGTGATATTTCATGCTGAAGCATATGTTTTAGAATGCATGGTCTCAAGATAAGCAAATGCCGTTATCTACATGCAGAACATACCAGCAAGGTGGTATATTGCTGATGTGATCTGCACAGGGCACGGGGAGTTGGTTGTTCATCTTGCTTACCTTACTGCCCCCCTTCCATTACCCTGGAGTTCATACTGAAACTCCTCTGTTACCGTTAAAAGTTAAACCTACTATTTCTGAGGAACAGCATACTGCCCCTGAAGCAGCTTGTCTTGGTACTTCACAAGAAATGCAGTCATAGCAGGTTACTACACTCCAAAGTGATATCCATCTGGGGCAGTCAAAAAAAACCAAACCCTATAAGCTTGCAAGTATTTGGGACCAGCTTCTGCACCCAGTTCCCGTGTTCTGAGCAATTTGCCGCTCTAAAGGTCTCCACACTCTGGGCTTTTGTTAGCCATGTCGGTGCTCCATCTTTATTGGGGTTTTAATGATAATCGGTTAGTGGGGAACCCTTTCTCTTAGTAAAATTTGAACCATTCCCAGTGGCTTTCTCAGGTGTCAGGTAGATGGAGGGAACGAGAAGACAGTAAACTAGACAAAAAGCAAAAGAAACTGCAATTTATCACTTTAAAGTACGGTATGTTAAACAGCAGTTTAAGGCTACAACAAATTGGCAATTGCTAAAAACTCCACCCATTTTAGGCATTCTTTACCAACTGAAGAAAAAAATAAAAATAATCCTTAGCAACAGGGAGCAATAGCATTCATATCACTGGCATTGGTTGTGTTGATACTGCAGTACATGTTGTTTGGTATAACAATATACAAGTCTTGAAACAAATTTCCCAGCAGTAGTACCCTTGTATAGACTGAATAAAGGTTATTTTCTACAGGGAGGTATCTTATAAGAAAAAACAGTAGGGGAGACCATAGAAGTGAGAGGATCCTATGGAGCTTTTTGTATTTAACAACAATCAATGGGTTTTATGGAAAATCATTGAGCAAAATGTGAGCTGCAAGCTCACTACCCCATACTGATGTTATTTATAACCTTAGTCTTAAACTGCAGGAAAAGTACACTTCCGTTCCATGGGGAATACATTAAAAGTATAAAGAGCAGATAAAAAGACAGAGCATTTCATGGATCACCAAGAACAAAATCCACTTAAATGAGCTTAGAGTTGGTTTCTTGGCTTTCACTGATGGAGAAGGACTATAAGGCATTGCCCAAGAGGAAAAAGCTGTTACCTAAGTGTGTTTGTTACCTCATGCATAAACATGGGATTACTGTAACACACATACATGCACATACAGTGTTTGCTTCTAACTACTTTAACTCTGTCAAGACTATATTATAATTTCTTATGATTAGGGCAGATTTCTGCTTTGCATACATGGGTTGTCTTTTTTTTTTAGTAAACGTTTGGGTGATGAAAGATTAATAGCTGCTGGTTTGCAAGATAGCAGGAAGGATAATTTTTTCCCTTCTGTGTTGCCTAGGTAAATCATCGTTAACATCCTATATGTGAAGTGCTAACCACAGTAATACAGGTTTTAACTTAGCAGGGATGCAGCCATGAAATATTTGTTCAGTAACCCTATCTGTAGAAAATAGCACAGTATGAAGAGGGTCAGCTGGTGCTTATCCAGCATCAGCAGGGTCTCCAGCTCGTCTGATGAATTAAGTCTCAATGCCAGGAACATTGTTTCTCACTTGTTTAAAAAAGGAGAGGGAAAAAAAAGGCTAAAGTTACTTTAGGGGTACACAATCAGAACATTTTATCTGCCACCTAAACATTATTGGCTAATTCAAGTCCCAGATTAAATAATACATTCTAAAGACATGAGAATCAAACACAGGCATGCTCCTCGCAATAAGCCAAATAATTACTAAGAAGAAATAGAGAAGAGGAGAGTTTATGATGTAACTTGTTACCTGCAGATGGCAGACTGGCTATAGGCTGGGCCTTCGGTGGCGCTTAGGGCTTGGCCAACTTGAGTCTGTGTCAGGCCAAGGGACAGGCGCCGGATTTTAAAAGCTTTGGCAAATTCTCGGATTTCTTCCAGATTCACTCCATCCACCTCTCCAGTGGCTGTTTGAGGATCTGTTGAAATATTTTTTTAATCATGTCAGTTCTTCGCGTCACATGTGAGTGAGCTAGGCTTACACCAGCCAAAACATCAAAACATTCCTGGTTTTTTTTTTTTTGTTGTTTTTTTGGTTTTTTTGGTTTTTTGTTTTTAATAGTTATTCCTTTCTCTTCTTCCCCAAACAGAAATAGGCTTGCCTTCTCAGGATGTTATGAAGCATGTTCAGATTGCTAAAATGCTAACTAGGCTGCACTGTTTCCAGGTGCTGGTGAAAGATTTTTCAAAGACCCTGTTGCTGAACTCCTGAACATGGCCAACTCACCTCAGAGCAAGGGGGTGCCTGGGCTCCTCACTGCCACAAGTGCCTCACAAAGTCTTCCCCAGGCTGACAAGTCATGTTCCCTGTTTCCTCTTCTTATCACATACAGAAGGAAGGCTGGTGTTACTGTATTTGTTTGCAGTGTCTGAGGAGGGCTAAATATATGCATGAAGTGCTAAGGTTTTTAGTTTGAAATCAAGACTTTCTGCTTTATTTAAAGTTAATGCCAAATAAGGAGATTCACAAACCTTTCTTCCCTTTTCCAGAACAGCCAGCCCAAACTGCCAGACAAACATCCAAAATAACCCAGCAAATGAACAAGCCCAAACAAAATGCTGCCTTTAAAATCTTTAATTTTAAAATCCTCTTTTAAAATACGCCCTTCTGAGAAGCAGCCTTCCAAGCTTTTCATTCTGCCTCCCATCAGGCTGATAATCAAGGAACAGCAACATCAGCCATTAGGTTTGGGATGGTAATGCTGCACAATTTTTTACTTTTACATTAGCCCCTCAGAAGATAATGCTTATGATGCTGTGAGAATAAATCTGTCCTTCCTCTCCATAGCAGTTTACTGACACAGAAGCCTTTGTCCCTGAAAAGGCACATAATAAAGCATGTCTACCACAGGAAAGCTCCTTTGGTGCTGGATAACTCGGTCAATTTAGGACTTATCAAGGGAAATGACACAACAGCTGGAGAATGGAACTCCCCCCCCCCCAAACTACTGATCCCTGGCAAAATGAAAGCATTTGCCAAGTTGCAGGCAGCATGGGACTGGGATGGTAGAAGATTTCAAAGTGTTGTGCAATCCTGCGTGTACTGAAGCCATTCTCCCAGCGAGACATCTCTATTGTTCTTCACCTCATTCCTCAGACTTCTTAGGTGAAAAGTTTACAGCACAATAACCCATCAATTTCTGTAAATGCAAGCAGTTGTCCAAGGATGGTGCTAGAGTACATTACTATTCTGAACCCTGTATGAGAGTGGCTCCTGCTAGTACTGCGATAGCTAAGGGCTTGTCAGCATTACAGTAACAAAGCTTTTATTTTCAGGGCTTTATAAACCTGATGGAAAATTCTCTTACGATGGAAATGTCCTATGAAAAAATCTTTTAGTCCAATAATAGACAGAGGAAAGAGGGTTTTTCTGTTATATAAATTTAGCCTATATCGATTCATAGCTTGAGTGCAAGAAGCACACATAGCAATAGTAGTTTAAAAATACTCCTGTATGCAACCAGGGACCACATGAACTATGCATACAGGTAAACACACACACAGGCTGAACCTAGTTTTGAAAATGCTCCACACTCAGAATCATCCCTCCTGCTGCCAGTGCTGTGCTTGAGCTCACCTGAGCACACATGCGTGCACTCATTCAATATAAATCCAGGATGCACATTTGCTTTTGAGTAGTTGGCATAATGACAAGTCCACTCAGGTTTGTAAACTAATTGCCTTTAGAGGTGTGAAATTTTTCTGCTTACCCCATACACAGCCTATCTAGCATACCAGTTCTGATTTTCAGAGACATAGAATGGAGCTGGATGCTTATTTGCCCTTTGGGTCTCTGAAGAGCAACTGATAAATGTACAAAATATCATAAATGATAATGGTCTCAAAGATTCCTTGGGTAAAGTGAACTAAGACGGCGACCTTCCTCACCTCTTTCCTTCCTTCACTTTGAGGCTTCTGACTAAGGCTATTAGGGATGTGACAAAGGACAACTCAGGTGTTCCCAGGGAACTTTCATAGTAGCAAACGCTATGGCAACTGGCACTTGTAACCCTCCCCAACTCCTGTTAGGAATAAAAAGGGAGGAAAGAAAGCTAAGGGGTTATTTGCTCATACATGATTCTAGAGAAATTCTGGCAAGTTCTGCTGGATCCTTCCGGTATGGTGCTGTTGCAACAGTGGAAAGTCCTTTCCTGCTCAGAGGGCTTGGATGAGGGAACAATTAGGCTGAGCTCTCCTTGAGATAAGAAAGAAAACCTGTGATGCACTACAGGAATATTGGACTAGATTGTAACATGTGTCAGAGTATCTGTTGAGAAAGAGGCTTTGTTCTTACACAGTGTCTTTGGGAGGAGCAAAGTACTAACAGAGGTGGACTGAAACACTAAAGCCTTAACTCTAAGGAAAATAGTGTTTGTATCAAATCAGAACCACTTCTACTTCGGGTGTGATTCAAAGCCCTTTGAAATCCATAGAAGCAGTCCTTTGAGTTCTGTCAGCTCCATAAAACCCAATAGTATGAAGACCACTCTATTGACATCATCACACAACAGCACCAGTCTGTTTGACTTTATTGCCATTAAAGGCCATCAATACATAATCTTGGACTCTGTGGACTAATGCATACGTATATATAAACATACACAAATAGATAATGGACTTTGTTTTAGTAAGTTCTGAGCTCTCAGAACAGTTCAGTGTTTAGTGTACTTCACATTTTAGGAGGAGTAGCTTATTGAGGACTGTAAATAATCTGGTGCTTTTTAAATCAAGTGGATTTCCTAGAGAAGGCACCACAGTGCCAACATGAAAATAAAGAATACGAGTCTCATTGAGTGTTTGGGATCTACTACTGTAGCATTTAAAGATTCCCAGTGTACATCATGGCTTGATAAAACAATGGCTGTTGTGTCTATGAAACTACGGGGTGATGGAGAAAGGTGAGACAAGTGGTCTGGGACCATTTTAGGGATGTGTGTGCATACCACCTAACAAAAAGGAAGCCATTTAAAATTCCCCTAGATGTCCTGATGGATGTTTAAGGTGGGTGACCAGAGTGGAAGAAATAAAATCCACAGGCTTTCCTTCCGCATTGAACCCCCTTTCTTCCTACTGAAGGGAATATTACTCCCACTTTTGAATTCTTCTGAAAATCCCGCGTGAGTTTGTTGGTGAGTGCAAATTTGCTGTGATTTTAATAGTTAGGGGAAAAAAAAAACAGGGCACCCTGAAGGAGAAAGCAAATTGCTGTTCTGCAGAGTTTTACCATGGGAGGGATTACAGGGGATGATTTCTCCAGTCAGACAGGAGAAATAAGTGGCAGAGGAAGTCCAATGGAAAGTAAATTGGATAAGAGAGGCAGGACAAAACATCGCTAATGGAAAATGGAGTGGTGCTCAGGGGAAAGAAAGAAGAATAATTTGTTTGTGGGAGGCATTTTAATTTTATAGTAGCAGATGACAGTAAGATGAATTTGGAAAGAAGAAAGGAACTTCATGGTGACACAAGTCTCAGAGTATGAGGGGAAACCGGTGATTTCCACAAAGAGAATACAGGGTGGAAAAGTTAAAAAATGAGAAGAGGGATGTATCTGAGAAGAAGAAAATGAAATGGAAAAAAAGGAGGAATAACGATGTAGAATTGAATGAAGAACAAAGAAGAGAAAAGAGAACAGAGATAGGATGAGACAATACGAAGAAATGATACAGAAGGGACAGGAAGAGTAGAGGTGAATCTTGCTGTCCTTGCTTATGCAGACCTTTTTAAATGTCTTTTTTTAAAAAAAAAAAAACCCATAATTTTTTGTCTTTAGAAGAACTAGCACTTGTTGCTGGTGAGGGATGAAGGGGTGAGGATGAGATAAAAGGGAGAAGCTATAAAGAACATAACAGTCCAGGGGGAAAAAAAAAAAAAAAGGACAGGAAATAAAAAAATAAAGGGAAATTAAAGGAAGGAAATGCATATTTTTAAAATTAGGAAACACATTAAAGAAAAAATGTAAAATCATAAGAAATACGACTACAATGAAAAGAAAAAGGAATAAAAACAAGGAACATGGAATGCTAAAGTTATTGAAGCCCAATTCTGATCCCTTTCTCATAGTACTTTAGTAATTCCACTGATGTGAGGCAACCTCTTGTAAAAAGAATTACTCTCTTTACAGTAAGTGTGCAAAACCTTGCCCCAAATAATTATTTATTTACTGAAGCTATGTTGCTCTAAGCAATTCGATGAACAGAATAAGATAGTTGAATATGCCTAGTTTTACATGAACTTTACTATATTTGGCAACAAAAGATTTTGCCTGTATTAAGGAGGCCTGAGTCTAAGACTGAAGTAGATGGAGAAGAACTCCCCCCTTCTATGGTTGTGGCTTTGGGTTGCTTTGGGCCAGGATGGCAACTAAAGACAGAGAGACTGACTCTTCTCTCTCGGTGATCATTTTCCACACTCCTCTGGTGGCTTCCAGGGAGGGTGGGAGCGGCGTCTAAATGATTTGGGTGCAGAGGGGGCAAAATTAACCTTGAATCTGAAAAAAAAGAAATGATGGAAGGGAAAAAATTCCTGAAGACTACTAAGGAGCAATGATCTGAGTTTGGAGTGGAGGGAGAGAGGGTCTGACTGTACAGACAGTAGTAGTCACCGGGGTGGAGGAAAGAAAACAGATAAAAAGAGGCAGCACCAGTGATAAAACAAGGTAGAGGAGGACAGAAATTACCTAACAAAAAGGCTGGTAAAAGGGACACAGATATGGTCTGGGGACAGAGACTGACTGGGAGCTGGAGGGGAACTGAAATGGGAAGACGAGTGGAGGAATGATGGACTGTGGAGAAAGGACTGCCGGGAGAAGGCAAGAGGAACAAAAGCACGGAGGCAAAGGGAGCACAAATTGTGTGGAGAATGGCATGAGGAAGTAATGGGACTGGAACAGGACAGGTGCTGGATGGAGTCAAGCCTGAGAGGAACAAGTAGAAAGTCTATATTCTTTAGTGTATCTCCCTCTCTTCCCCAAATTGATCCTTGAGGTCTTTTCCAACCTTAATGATTCTATGATTCTATGCTATTCCCATGCCTCATACTCCTCTGCTCTCAGCCAAATCCGTGAGCACAGCATGTGTCTTATTCCTTTTAGAGCAGGACCAACAAGATTGTAACACAACCTATCAGCTTCTCCATGCATTCAACTGACAGCAGATCTCATATTTCCAACTATGAATGTAAGCATGATCTCACCATAAGACTGACGTACATTACTATTCTGCATTTGTAACAACCTTAAAATTTATCCAAGCGAAAAATGAAGCCAAGAGAACATCCTTAGAGTTGTGCAAGTAAACACTCAGAAGCTACAAAATGCTGGAGTTACAGTAGTCTTTGAGCCCTGGATTACCTGTTCTTTTACCCCAGATCCCTGCCTCGTCCAGTCAACAGGACGAATTGTGCTTCACTACGGAGGAACTGATTGATGTATCACCCATCAGTTCAGTATGTGCCCCCAGACCTCTATTAAGGCTCTTCACCAAAGACATAGTTATTAATTTCCTCTTGAGCTCTTCTGGTTTTTTAACTCTTAATTTATTTTCTTGTGTTTCTACAAGATGAGGGTCTTCCCCTTCTCATTCACAGAGGAGACAGATATTACAGGAAGAAGCCTTTTTGGGTACCCAGTCTAGGTCAAGTAGGAGATGATTCTTTAGACTGTGTTTTTAAATGGTTCTTTATAGAGTTTCACAGTGAAAGTGCACTTAAAATTGTAACTCTGAGTACCAGGTTCTTCTGTAAATTAAAGTCCAGAGTCTCAAGCTGAATATTGAGGGTGCACTTGTGAAAAATCTGTTTTAAGTGACTTGTCTGCCATTGCACTGGAATTACGTGGCACACAGAAAGCTTCAGCTCCTCAGACATCTACTGCCTGAAGCAAGACAATCCTTCACCCTTCTGCAGCTCTCTGCTGCAAATGTTACGCAAACTGGGGAAGAGTTTAGTGAATCAGTTGGGAACAAACCCTGGGACAACAGCCCACCTGTTCCATTAGTAATTCTGATGTATCCCTAGAACAATTCCATTGGGAATGCACTGAAAGAAGGATGAGAAAATAATCTTGATAGCGTGATTTTAATCAAAGTGTATGTTGTTATAAGATACATCTTCTAAGAGGAACTGTATACAGTTGAACAAGCAACTATTTTTCTAGCATCTCCTAACTTTTGATGGATTTATCCTGTAAATTTAAAAGGGCTACTTCCATATTGCCTTTATTGTGTAGTGTGCTTATCCACATGGGGAAATTAATTGGAATAACTACTGTGGGGTAGAGTACCCTTCAAAAGTTATTCCAGAATATTTTTTTAATAAGAATGTTCACAAGGAAGGTAATCTGGACTAGCCATTGAAAAGTAACTTATTCTGCGCTAGTTATTTTAGTCAATTTTCCAACATAAGCAAGGGGTAATATTATTTTTAACGTGAAGCCTCTTATTTGTGTTCTTCCTATGAGCTTGTCTACATGAGAAAATTTACTGACAGAGCAACAGCAGTATATTTATATCACTATAATTATATCTATATATTTTATGTACTTACAGCTACCAATGTAGATATTTTTATTCTAGAATAAAAATATTCACACTGGGAGTTACACCAGCATAATTTTAACACTATAGCTCTGCTAGTTATTTCTCCATGTAAACAATCTCTGAAATAATCTAACCAAGACTTTTTTCCACATCTTCCTTTGCATGACAGTTTCTCCAAGCCCTTCAATAAGCTTGTATCAGTCATATGTTTTGCATTACCAACACAGTGTGAGCTATAGTGTTTGTTTACTTGGAATACGTACATGGAGTGTCTTTGAACAACGTCATCCAATACACTCAGATTTTTGCAGATGTGCAAAAACTGCTAATGCTTCTTATGTATGCTTTTAACCTGCTGTTTTTGCTATGTAAAGACCAAAGTTAATGCTGGTAAGGTAATAGTGAAGACTCTGAACTGTGTGATCTGGGGGAAAAGGCTCTTCAGGAGGTCAGCTGTTACAATCCTAACACTGAAACTCAGTTATTTCGCTGCAGTATGCTTCTCCCACATGTAACAGTTCTTTCTTGTTTAAATTGTGCAGGCTTTTCCTGGCAAGAAAGGCATCTTGCTCTAGATTTATGTAGTGCTAGGGTTTGTAAAACTGTTTGCTACGTTAACTAACTAAGCAAACAAACCGTAACAAACAAGCAGCCTAACCAGAAATAAAAGGATCTGTCTGCCCACCAAATTCTGAGCAATATAATTAATTATATTGACTGATTCAAAACCTTTTCATTTGCAAAGAACATAAACTACATTTTAGTTAGAAAAATTGCCCTCATAACTCAATTAACAGCTGCTTCCATTTTTATGGCCATTTTTAGCATTGATTACAATTTCTCAAGGCAGGTTTACCTTAAGCCTCATCCATTACAGCACTTAGCAGTTCCTACTGGTAAGAGACACTCTACAATAGCAATATACAATCTACTATTAAAAAAAAAAAAAAAAAACCAAAAACGGGAGGGAAAGCAGATCAGGAAACTCAGCAGTGAGGAGAACAAACAGAGGGGAGAATTAAGGAGAGCCAGGGAGAAATACTTACTGCTGACTAACTGGCCAACACTCAAAGCTGAAGAGGAGGAGGATGAGGAAGAAGAGGAGGAAGCCTGACGCACTGGGCTTTGAGACATAGATGCTTGACTGTGAGCCAAATGCAGGAGATTGGGCTGTGAGGCTGCTTGTCCCACTTGCGTCTGGGAGGGCTGATGGAGCTATATGTTAAAATGTAAAAATAGGTATTTAGAGCATGAAGCAGCAACAGGAAACTTTCAATGCACCATCTCACCCATCTACTTCTGGGGAACTAATCCCATAGGAGCATTAAATACCATGGACTTAGTTCAGGTGCCAGAGTGTTACAGCAGGAGCAATCTGAGCTCCTTTGAACTCTGGCCTTCCATTGTTTCTCAGTTTAATCAGATATTTAATCTAATTAGAAGCTAAATGCGTGTTTGAAATGGGTGATGAGACCTATGATATTCCCAGCAGCATTCTGATTTAATAAATACATGTCCTTACCTCTTTTCTGACACATGAAGTCAGACTTTTATTCCCTACATGGATTCTCATATAAATCAGCATTGTTTCAGAGAGGTCCTTTCACACTGCAGGACCAAGGCCAAGAAGAGGGGAAATGGGGAAGAGAAGATAAATTGGGGAAATATTCCTTTCCTACAAAAAGGAATAATTTGGTTTATGACATTAGATCTAGCAAACAAACCAAAATGTTGAAATCTTATTTCTCAGTTGATAAATTGTCCTTGCCTAAAACACAGTGGAACTTCTGAGCCCCATTCGCATCAGGACTGTCAAGTAAGACATACCTAAAAAGTCTAGCAAGTACAGTAGATGCAAATGATTAAATGTGATAAATGAATCTGGTTTTACAATTTTTTTTTTTTTCACAAATTTTACAACAGTGTAGCCTTTGGTTGTTCATTAGGGGAAAGGAAAGAATCATTAATCCTCTTTGCCAATAATAAGCTTTCACGTGGGATTGAAAACTAGTAACATTCTCTGGTAGTGATTTTTACATAAAATACCCAGTAAATTCAAAGGGCAGTCCCTCTACAGAATGAAGGACACAATGGACCTTACAGTTTTGAATTGGCTTCTAGTAGTTCAGTACGGCCCTTTCATAGCCTAATAATACGTTAATACAGTCCTGACACACTCAGGTGGCTGCTACTTATTATACCTTTATTTTATGTTGATTCTCGATATTGATCAAAAAAGATTGCAGAAAGGTAATAAAAGGCTTCGCTTTTAAGTGATATCTGTTATCTGCATTCTCAGAAAGGGGGAAAGATAAAGGCCTATTTGGCCTTGCTTGAAGTCAGTAATTTAAATCTATTTCTTGCATTCTAAGGAGTACGAGTTTTTCTCTTGGTATTTAACTGAACAAATAACTTCAGAAAAGGAGCTGAATTCATTAGGAATACTCAAATTATATATAATATGCTCCCAGAACCCACAGAAATGACTGACGCTACACAGACAACAAATTGTATGCCATCGTAGATAAAGGTATCTGATCGCATTCAAGATGAAACTTCTCTGTGGAATACATATGAACAATTTTCATTACATTATTCCTGTTACAGGTCTGTTTAAGTATGGAAAAAATTACAACTCCTTTTTCTACCTCCTGCATGGAATTATATAACACAAAATTTATTAATAATGAAAATTATTTATCTGACCAGTTTTAGCCTATTCTGACTTCCCTAGGGATCAGTAAACACTAACATTTTATTATCTGAAGGAGATTATTTGGATCGAACACATTTTAAAAAAGAAAACTGGCACTTTATTAAAGGGATAATAGTTGAGAAGCTGATTGAAAGGCTTCCAGATTTCAGACTCATGCAGGCACTGGGCATCTTCAAAAAAAATTCACCAAGGGTTGGATTTTATCTATAGAGAGCTCCCAACCCGGAACATCTACTTTTTTAGTATCTTCTCCTAAGGAAGCAGTCCAGACTGCAGTTTTCAGAAACAGGCAGGGGTTTGGGCTCTGAGTCTGTTGTCCAAGGGAATCTCTGGCAAAATGAAAGATTTCAGCCTAGGTGAGGGAAGAAAAGTAGTGTATTTAGATGAGTTCCATGTTTTGCACTATCTGAAACAGTCTTAAAGATGTTAGTGCTTATCTGGGAGGATGGAGGAGCAAATGTAGTAGCTCTCTTTAAAAAGAAAGATCTGCAAAATTATAGTCCAGTCAACTAAACTTCTGCCTGTGGAAAAGTACTGAAGAAAATAATCAAACAATTTGTAAGCACCCGCAAGAAACAGGGTAGCAACAGACAACATGGATTGTTAGGAACAAACTGTGTCAAACCAATCTGGTCTCCCTCTAAGACAGGGTAATTGGCCTGTGGACAGCGAAAAAGCAGTAGGTGGTTTGACTTTACAAGCCTCTTGACACTCCCTCGTGTGACATTCTCTATAACCTAGGGAAACACAGTTTAGATGAAATTGCTGCAGAATGAATGCAAAAGTAATCGGAAAACAAACCCAAGAGGATAGATATCTACCTGTGAAAACAAAAGTGTGCACGTACAGTTCTTCACAGAAGTCTGCCTTTCTTCTGCACTACTCAACATTTTCTTAATGACCTGGATGATGGAGAAGAGCATGTGCTTATTAAATTTATGTGCTGATGACACACTGGGAGGGACTTTTGATGGGCTGGAATAGAGGATTAGGATTCAAAATGATCCAGTCAGTTTGAACATGCCACCAGCAATCCTGAGATGTTGCAAAAGCAGAGAAAGGGCAACTCCCATACCAAGCTGTGTGAGCGGGACTGCCATCTGCAGTGCACATGAAGAATGTTCTTTTCTCCTAGGCATGGGAAAGACCTCTGCAGTGGGGCGCTCCACATCCACAGCTAGATGCCACACTTCAGAAAAAGTCTGGACCAACTGGAAGAGCATAATTAGAGTGGCTGAAGGTCCGAGAGTTACCTGAGACTTATGAGAACACCTGGAACAAACAGGTTGTGTCTAATCTAAAGAAGGGAAGACTAAGTGGGATGCGATGCCTGCCTCAAATACAGGCAGAGCTAATGAAAAGAGGAGAGAATGAGTCTGTCTTAACATTTTATAGGGGAAAAAATGAGGTGCAACAACCTGGAAGATTCAAATTAGATGCTGTCTCACGTGGCAGTGAAGCACTGGCATAAATTGCTGGGGGAACCTGTGGAGTTCCTGTGAGAGTGCTTAGGAGCAAGTTAAGACAAAAACTGAAACAGCTACTCCACCCTAGAACAACAGAGTGGGCTGGATAATCTCTTGAACCTTGACCTGCCAGCCTTAATTTTTTCTGATTCTATGCTATTTCCCATGAGTATTTCGCAGGGAGGGAAATACAAGCTCACATAAGACACAGATGGCAAATCCAACATTTTCCAGCCATGCCACACATATAGTCCCTGAACAGTTCAACTGCTCAGCAGCACACAGTAAATTTGAAGCTTCCAGGAAGCACCAGAATGAGAGGGCATTCTGTGTTCTCCAGTTGTGCACATAAAGCAAGCACACAGCCAGAGCCACTATGTAGCACATGCACAGTACGCTGGTTAAGTCTGGGAAGCGCTTGCTTCTCTGCACATGTATTGCACAATGCATTTGCAAATGTATTTTTGGAATAACTGGGATACCCAGAAGCTTGACAGTTTTTCTTGTCAGACATCCAGAAATCTTTGGACAAATGTAAGAAATTCTCAAAATTTAGCTGGGCAAAAAGGGATATGGCTGGTGAAGTCTGAATGCAAAGTGATGTAAGGTGTAATAGCAATATATAAGGGATATTTAGTGTTGGTTTCTAACTCACTGCTTGTTAGAGAAAAGGGAGAAATGGGGTTGGAGAGACTGAAGAGTCACCTTAAGGACTGACCAGGGACTGAGGGAGGATTCCATCTTTTACTCCCTACATAATTTCCAGCACACCCCCTGTTTTACAGACATAACGGTTAAGCTGTAAATGTCCTGCTTAAAGAACAATGATAGTGATCTGTGTCATGAAATGACATTAAAATACTCTCTCTCTTTTCACCCACTATAATTTCCACTCCAGAAATAGCCTTAAGGAAAGGCGACGATTAGATTATGAATTAGATTCCAGATGACAGAATCAATGCAATAGCTGACTTTTCCCAATTTTGGACACGTACATATAATATGAATTATATTTATGACTGTTGTGCGTTTTCCATCCAAAGACTGAAGGAGGCACAGGAATTACAGAAGCAGATGCTGTAAGTGCCATTCTGTGTAGGTGGATATAGTAGACATGCAGAGAATGATGACTGTAAGCAACACTGATGAGTATCTGGCAGGAATACATGTATACACACTACAGCTAGAGGAATAACGTGAATACAAGAAGCATAAAGTGCAGCAAAATACTTCATAAGAATAAACTGGAAAATGCAATGGGCCTGATTCTTATTTGTTTTACATCAGTTTTACATGCTGCTGTTGATGGTGAAGGTAGTACTGCTTGCTAATTGCAGAGGCAAAAAATGAATTATGTCTGGAAGACTACATTTTGTTCTTAAGTTATGTATGTAGGCTATTCCTACAGCTGGGATGGTTGACTGGAGTCCTGTATTAAGGTCTTCTTATGAGATCAGGGATGTTGTTCACTGCATCCAGACACGTGCTAGTGATAGAGTAACAAGATAAGGAAAGAGAAAGAAACTAAGTGGAAATAAAGAACAAACTTTTGAGAGAATATTGCCCTGTATCATAACAGAACTGCTAGTGGTTTTACAGAGAGTCTGGACAAACACCAAGAGCAAAATACGGCCTTAATGGAAGAGAGAAGAGAGTAATGGGTTTAAATTGCAGTAAGGGAGGCTAGGGTCAGGCATCAGGAAGACCTTTCTAATGCTAAGGAGAGTGGCCTAGGTTGCCTTGGGATGTCAGGGAACCTCCATCACTGAAGGTTTTTAAGAACAAGTTAGACAAACATCTGTCAAGAATGATATAGGGACAGTTGATCCTGCCTATGAGGAGGGGATGGACTGCATGACCTCTCCAGGTCCTTTCCAGTCCTATTTTTCTATGATTCAGTGAAAAGGAAATGTGAGAGATGAGGAAAACACAACAAATTAGAGAAGACAGAGGTGAAAAAGACAACTATAACAAAAAGGGCAGAAGAGATAAAACTAAGAGGAGTGGCACAGAGCAAGAAATAGATTTTAAAC